TTAGAGCTGGTTACATTCACACCCACACTCAGAAACTCACAGCGAGCTAACGCTACCTGACAATTAACGCTAGCTTAAAAAGCCGCAGCAGCTAGCTAACCGCTCCTGCACAAAAGAAAAACTGCCCGATTTCACCTGTTTCTGTCCACTCACAGACCACTGATGTCACAGTGTATATAAATCAATAATAAACAGCCTTGAATACAATCGTCTATGGCTCCATAAGGTAAAAATGAATGTTTTATTCTTACCGAAGCCGGCTCCGTAGCTTCCTGCATCCATGATCCGAGGAGAGTGGGTGGGTCCTGCCAGCGGGATTAGGTAGCCAAGAATGTTGCCTGTCCAAAACTACACAGCGCTTCTTAGCATTAAACTATTCAGTGACATGAACACAAAATAGCATATTTCAAAGAGACATAATTAAAAACGGAAGAAAAAAAAAACCTTTACTGCCTAACCCTTGCCTTCCAAACTAAAGAAAGTTAATTAAAATTCTATTTTTTTCCACTTTTATTACATTTTCAGATGAAATGAAAAGTTTTTGCATTATATTTATTTTAAGTGGCAGGAGTGTGAGAATCTAGACATTAGTGGCTGGAGAAAAAAAACAAACAAACACCTACAGTCATGGCACAAACAAGCACACAACTCATACTTAACTGTATGCGATGCATTTATATATAATTTAAAGTCATCTGTTGCCATAAAAGTTATGTAATGTACTGGTGTCACATCACATTGAAAGATAAGAGTCTAAAGAAAGTAGGACAGTTATTACATGTGTATGCGGTGCTATGGTGATCCTCTAAACAAAAATATGAATACAACATGAAAATAGTCTCTTTTTTGACTTAGTCAATTAAAAAGAAAAAACTTGTTTGTGTTGTTATGGTTAGAAAAAGGGTTGGATTGAATTGACTGTATACAAAAAAATCCAGCAGTTCAACAGGTACTAAATTCCTGACCATTAAATGAATCTACATCCCAGTCAGATGTGACTATAAAGACAATGATCAGATAGTAGCAGTATAAAGACACTCTGTGGAGCAGTGACTGCAAAACGCCACCATAAAATGATGCTTTATTCAAGTGTCACATGCCACAGATCACAAGAGAAAGATAGTGATGGACAAGTGGCATGCTGGATCTTGGCATGTCAGGCACTTGAATGTCCACAACTCCACCACTGAAATTGTTTAGAAAAGCTTTGGACGGATGTGTCTGACAACATGATCCTGCTCTCCAAAATGTCCATCAGCTTCACTACGACCCTCAGGAAGAGTGGGAAA